ACACGCTCTCTCTCTCTCTCAAAAAATTGCATTTCCTCCCTAATTATTTTAGATGCCCAATAAACTCCCATTCTCTGTCTTCAGAGGCTGTAAATCCAGAGTCACTTTCTGCTATATGCAGAAGGGCATTTCACAAGAGGGAAAAGGAAAAAGGCAAGAATGTAGGGAGGAGAGAAAGAGGGGAGGGAGAAGGACTAGAGATTGGAGGACCCTCTTTCATGGTAGGCTACCTTTTTACAAAGTTCAACTTTTCCTACACAAGCAAAGCCCTGTTTATTCCTCAGGCCTCAAGGCCTCACTCCATCACTCTCTCCTTTCTTAAGAGCAAAACGACCTCTCCCTTTCTTGACATACTTTTAAATCTTTTTAATCTGTGACCTACTGATATCAGTAGAGAAGGTCCAGGCCTAAAATATAATTTGCCACATTAGGAAAAACCTGCGTTTTATTGTTTAGAGTAATTAAGTACCTCAAATCTGTCTCTTGCTTAATTAACCTATCTCTGCAACCTTATTTACTCATTTCTTTAGGCATTTCTTCTCTTCCTCTCTCTGCTACTGTGTTTCAGAATTCTGGTTTACTGTTCTAGGCATTTCTCTCACTATCTCTTAGTGCTCAGGAAGAGAGAGAAATACATGTTTGAAGGAGGGAAAAATCATTGGGGCCTTTCATCAAAATTTAAAATTGATGTTCCTTTGTGATAATCAAAGATCATTTTCACCGTATTTCTTTTCAAATTTAAAAGAATAATTGTAGAAAGGAGTTTATTGCTTTTCCCATTTGGGAGACAAATCAACAAACACATTTTCATCTCACTGAAAATTTTCAGAAATCTGTAACCAGTCACTACTTATAAATAACTGTTATAGGGTCATTTGAGATATAAAACCTATTGTAAATGGTATTATCTACTTCAGGGCATTCTATCCACTCAATTTCTCTTACTTGAGATGTGCTAACATTTTTCAGTGAATATAGATTTCTTTTGAGAAGAAAACAGCAATATTGAAAATATTCCTGGAATAAAGTTGAGGTATAATTTTTTTAAACTGAATTTTTGAACATTACTTAAAATATTGAAATTTTTTAAATTCTTGAAATAAAGGGAAGAATATAAGGTACTCCTTTATTCCCCTCTGTCATACTATAAATTTTTTATTTACTATTTCTCTTTAACTTTGTTCTCTAAAAACTCATTTTGTTTTTCAGGTATTTATCTTGAGGTCTGTGGTTGAGAATAGTTTTCTGCCCTTATTCTCTGTCAGCAATTGATGTCACTGTTTCATTATCTTTGATTAGAAGTCATAGAAATGCTGTATTTTTTTCAAAGCTATTACATAATTTCCTGAATAACAATCTAAACACTAACTTTTATTTGATTTTACTTTTAAAATAAATTATTATAAAATTTGGTAAGTAAATATTTTTTACCAAATTTTGGTGGGGATCATTATTTAATGTTGTTATATCAGTTTTTTATTTTCAAACTTTATGTCATGCATTTTTATCCCAGGTTTGTTCTTCATGTGTACTAAGACCCTTTGCACATATTTTAACTCTAAATATTTTAAAAAAACTGTTCTCCAAATATGAAAAGGCAACTTCTGTGAAGGAAAACTTACTTCACAGCATAGAACAGCAAAGAGAGCTGAGAATCCATGCTTTCAGAAATAAAGAAAGAAGTAATGGAATGTATAGGAATGCACTCTTTAAATTTCAGTAGAGTTTATTATTTGCATCTCTGCATCTTTCCATGTGCCCCTTGGTAGTATATACACCTGTCTTTCATCTGTGGGGAAGCGCAGGGCCTCCTCAGTTTTCAACCGCACTGTGCAACCTCACCTTCTGATTCAGTCTCCTCAGAATTATATCTCAAAAGGTCTGAATGACTCAACGAATAACCTACCATTCCCCTTCTTTTCTGTCAAAACATTAATTATTTTCCCAAAATTATTAGTTAAATCTTCATGTAATTTTACTCTAGGACTATAGGAACAGAATTTTTATGTTTCATATTTTATACATTGATTTATTTACTGTGCGTGTGTGTGTGTGTGTGTGTGTGTGTGTGTGTGTGTACTCGCACGTGCGCATAAGGATAAGGGGCTTAAATATTAAGGAACCAGAGGAGCTATCTCTCAAAGAAAGACTTACTTTGGTGATTCTATTTGATTTGTGTGTGTATATTTTTTAAGTCTAAGAAATCTTATTTTTATGATTAATTTTGGTTTTTAAGTTACTTTTCCTCCTGCCTGGGTAAGTCTCACTCATCCTTCCAGGCTTAACTGAAATTCCAGCCCTAGGAGAGAGGGATGAACACCGCTGACACTTAGATTATAGAACTTATATTATGGTTATTTATATCTAGATTTTTATTTTGTGTCCTTGCATCCAAACTCCTTTAAGGCAATAACTATCTTTCTCATTCCTTTCTCCTCTTAGCGGAGGCAATAGGAACAGTGAACAAGGGTAAGGCTTTTCAATGTAGACATAGGTTTGAAGACTGCTCTGACACTTTCAAGTTTGTCTGCTCCAAAACATTAACCTCTCTGAGGCTCTATAGCTGGCAGGTAGTTATGAGAAATAAATGGTGTGGTCCAAAGTATCTGTGACATTAGATGGTCAATAAATTAGTATTATTCTCATCCTGTCTCTTACAGCACCTCTGCTTGGGCTAGTACATAACTGATACGAAGCAAATTTCTATTGAGTAAATAAATGGCTGAAATAATAGAATTTTAATCTATTGTACATCCTGAACAAATATAATTTACAGTTACTGTGTTATGCATGTCATCATGCCTATGGAATCCCAAAACTATATATATTTTAGAAATATTTCTTGCTATTTCTGAACATAAGAATCATCTTTTATTTGGTTACAAATCTCCTGAGATTCGATTTTACTTTTATTGTGTTTATGCTATGAGTTAAACACAGTTTCTGAATTTTACCCCAAATCACCCATAGTTTCCTCCCTGGATGTCTTCCGTACTGATCTTGGTTGACGTTAAGCTCTAGCCCTTTTGATGATTACCTTGGCATTCTTCCAAGTGGAGCCTTCTAATTTTAGAGTCAAAATGCTGGAAGAACAAATCACAGATGTGCATTGAAATATGCACAGTATGAGTACAGAGTCATTTCTAAGAGTTATAATAAGAAAGGTCTTTAACCTAAAGATGTTTAAAAACTTAGCATATTTCATTTTCTTTTTCTTGTCTACTCCAAGAATGCTACCTTATTTTTCCCACATCACACTTGGATTTGAGAAACTAAAAATATTTTATCAAAACATTTATTTTCCAAGTATAGTCTACATCTCTCATACATTTATAGGTTATAACAGATTTTAAATATTATTTTCAACTCAAAACAAGCTTTTGTTTCTATATTATATAATACAAAATATTTTGTACTTTATAATTCATTAGTGTAGTAAGAACTCTTTTAAAAATCTATTTGTTTCTAAGAGGATGTCAGAAACTTCATTATTACTCGTGCCTAAACTTTTTCAGGGCCTTGCTCTTCCTCTTTTGTTTGCCTAAAAAATCCACTCACCCATCTCCCCATGTTGAAGTTGGACCATTCGTTAGTTCATATATATTTACTGTGGCTTACTATATGCAAGGAACTCATTATATTTGTAGTTTCAGAGAAGGATACTTACAGAATATTTTGCTTTACCTTTAGTTGGACGTGAACTCTTCCTGCTTTAAGTATCTCAGAATATTTTACCTCTCCCAGAATAGTTTCCTTGTGTGTGTTGTATACCACTTAACTATGTACTTGTTTCTTACCTCCTACTAGACTAAGTATATTGCAAGAACGCCTTAATTGTTGTAACCCTGGTAGAGCCTAACTCAGCTCCTGGCCTTGTGCTCAAGAATCTGTCAAGTTTAATGGGGTGTATAGACACCCCTATGGGCATTAGTAGAACCAGAGTTCAAACACCCTGATTCCCAGACTCCATTAACCAAAGACATTTTCTTCTGACTCCCCAGGAATTCCACACGTACTGACAGGATTTCCCAGGCAGCACACACCCAGCCTTCTCCTGAAAAATAGTTTTGCTTCAGAATAAGCCTCTTCCAGAGTCAAAGAGAGACATGGATGGAGTCCCTACATTCCATTCTCACCCACTCATTCCCAAGACAGTTGGGAAGCAAATAAGAAAGTCGACTTAATTAAACTGACAATGTTATTGACTTTCATTAAATAAATATGGTCAAAAACAAATAGAAAACTGAACTGTTTTAAAGTAATATTTAGAATGTAAACATTTTACTTGAAATACCATTAACTAAACTGTCTAATTCGACTGAAAGCCCTCACCATATTTGGGGTCATAAAAACCCTAATTTTTTTTCAGGTGCTTTTAGTCTCAGTATTAGCTGAGGTGTTCATGTTACATCAGGAACTTTTGATGCACCTGTATTCAGAGAAATCATCATTCCAGATCAAATACATGTGCCCCGTCACCCCTTTTCTTATAATTTTAGGGGACCTTCTGAAATGTATGATTATAAAAGAAAACAAGAGCAAAAACAAAAATGAATCAGCAGAGAAGAGATAGAAGAAGTAAGCCAGGTGGCTTCTCAGATCTTTCACTTTGTGCTTTTGATGTCAATCTTTTATTGCTGTTTCCTTAAGTGGAATGAGAATTTGGATGAGAAAGGATGAAATGAGTAAAAATTGTACACCTTTCTGACCAGGACTTAGTCATTTGATAGAGAGAGAACTGTGAGAACCAAGAATGGATACCAATCTATTATGTTACAGTAAACAACATTGGTTTAGTTTTTTATGCCATACTTTTCATCTTGGTAAAAGGAAAATGATTTTTTTTAAAAAGCAATAAGTTACTAAACTTGGTATGTGAAAACTAATAGTAATATCAACACTAGTTGTCAGAGGCAGTATCTAACCTGTATTGATGAGCTTATCTAAAATCACTTTCTGGCCTCTTTAAGTTCATTTTCTTTTTTTAATTCTCTTTACAGGTAAAGATAAGATTAAAGTGTCTGAGGATGACTTGAAGAAACTCCCTCTAATTAGATGCTGTATTTTGGAAACCACTCGTTTAAGAGCCCCTGGTGCCATTACTAGAAAAGTGCTGAAACCAGTTAAAATTTTGGTGAGCTTTGGTTTGGTTTTAAGTTTATTTTTTGCCCGTATATTATTAGGTAATTCCTTAAGTTCCATTAAGCACGAAATGACCCTGGAACAGGATACTGATAAGAGTTGTGTAGCAACATTTTGTTAGTGTAGATATTTGTCCCTTGGCGACTATTTTATTAGCTAATAAAATAGTCCTCTAATATTTATTTTGGCTATGTGATTCTGTATTGGAATTAATATAATCCTATTTCAATCAAGCAGGTGGACTGGATAGTTTCTTCTGAGCTGAACCAACCAAGTATTCCTGAGCACTACCAGGCTGAGAAATTCATGTGTGAAGAAAGTTCTTTAGCATAACTGGAAGATAGTTTCAGGCCATAGATTACAAATGTGGGAACAGAGAGCAGGAACGTCATGAATAATAATAACTGATATTAGCAATCAGTGACTAAATGAGGGGGAGAGGTCTTTTCTATGGGCAAAGTAGGAGAAAATTCTTAAGCATACCATGAAAAGTATGTGCATGTGGCAGAACTCCAGTTTAATATTCAAGGAATCAATCAGGCAGAACAAAATATTTTTTCAGAATGATTTGACTTAAAGCCTGCATTATTTAGATAGGTCACATTTAGTCAGCCCTCCACTCTTGTGGGCTTTTTTAGTACATAGCTTGAGAGTGCCTGGATTCAAACCAGAAAAATTTAGAACACAAAAGAGACAAAAAAAAAATCCAAGTTTTATAAAAGTTGCAACTTGCTGAATTCAGGGGAGACATTGTTAGTCTAACTGATTTTACATAAAATGTAGCATTTAATTTTAGTGGGATTTTAACCCATTTTTGTTTTTAAATAAATTCTTAATTACTTCAGAAGTATAAAAGAATATGCTTGGAGAGGAAATAGTCAAACAACTTGGTACAATTAAGTAGAACAATATATTTATTATTCTGAATATTATTATAGTTTTTATTAAACTTTTATTAAGCTTCATTTATATTCTGACTAGTAGATAATTGCCTGAATTACGAAACAGTAATTTATCTGCCAGTTGCTATCTTGATAATTATTTTAAGCATGCATATCCTACACGTGTTTTGTTAGATTTATATCTAAATATTTCAGTTAGTTTGAAGTTTTCGTGTTTTTTTTTTTTTAAGTTTTCATTCCCAATTGTACATCAATTGTTTGTAGAAATATAGTTGATTTTTGTGTTGACCTTGTAGCTGCAACTTTGCTAAACTCATTTATTGGTCCTAGGAGTGTTTTTGTAGATTCCTGGGAAGTTTCTATATAGACAGTATTGTAATTTCTTTCTTTCCTATCTGTATGCCTTTTATTTCTTCTTTTTGCCTTATTGCACTGGCTCTAACTTCCAGTATTATGGTGAATAATAGTTGTGACAGCAGATATCCTTGCCTTGTTTTTGATTTTAAGGGGAAAACATTTAGTCTTTCATCATTAAGTATGAAGTTAGTTGTAGGCTTTTTGTAGATGCTCTTTACCAAGTTGAGAAAATTTCCCTCTATTTCTAATTAACCGAGAATTTTATAATGAATGGGTGTTGGATTTTGTCTGTGCTTTTTCTACATCAATTGATAGAGTCATATGCTTTTTCTTTTTTAACTGTTGATGTGGTAGATTATATTTACTGATTTTTGAGTGTTGAACTAGCCTTTCATAACTGGAGTAAATCTCATGTGATTATGGTGTATAATTCTTTTTATACGTTGTTTGATTTGTTCCGCTAATAACGTAGTTTTCTTTACATTTTTTTCACGGCGGGGCACTGTTTCGTCTGCTTTCTATGCCATGGCAATCTCTTAAAAGGTGTTTTATGGTTGTCCTATCCCCTTCTCATAAACACTCATATTCCTTTCTTTTCTTCTTTCCTCTCTCCTCCACCCTCCCTCCTCTCATTTCTCTTCTTCCTTCCTCCCTTCCTACTACATTATTATGAAAACCAGTCAATAAAATCAGCAGTATAGTTTCCTCTTTCTCCTCCTAATTTTTTTCTTTTTCTCTCATTTTCTTTTTCTGGTCTCATTCTTCAAGTTATTTTTTACAACGAAATGTCTCTCCTTTAAATTTCCCATTTCATCTCTAACTATGCCCATGACCAAAATAGGGGGAAAAAAAACCCATAAGGATTCCCATATCTAAATTTTTGTAGATATTTTTTTCCTGTTGCTTTTGCATTTATTCTCTCTCTTATGAGTTTCAGCGTGGTTTTTGTGGCTTCAACACATTCCGTCTTGTGCTTCTTGAACCAGTTGTTCTGCCTGCCATGCCACATATATGTCTGCTCTGTACCCCCTCATCTCAGACCTAACACCTAGCTTCTGCTCTTTCAATTAGCTAAATATATGAGATCATTATGGCATAATTTAATAATAAGAAAGTTTTAATGTGTTACATAAATAGATTTTCTTCCCAGACACAAACCAAGAACTGTTACGCACACCCCACTTTCCAGCCAATATAATGCACTTCTTCCAAAATTGTGTTCCTTTTGGCTTCTGCAGCATATTCTTATGCTGCTCATTTATCTTTAACTACTTGATTATAGTTTTACCCCAACACTTCTTCCTTCAAATAAATACTACTTTGTCCTTACGGTTCTCTTGCCACACTGCAGTCACCCTTTATTTCTTTATCTTTTACTGTACTGCCACCTAAAGTCTATCTTATGTGTCCCACTTTTTTCCCCTTCTAACAGTAGGAGTTTTCTACTGGGCAGATGTTAGTTTCCTGCTTATCTCATTTTAGTTTTCAATAACTCAGTTGATTTTCTTCTTCCTTATATTTTTATTTTACCATAAGTTATTGGCACAAATGTTTTTCACTATAAAATTTCTATGCAACTCACTTGTTTGCTGGTCAGGCTTCAACATTGGTACTGATTCAGTCACTATATTCCACTACCTCGTACACCCCCTGTAGCCCTTCTCTATCTTTAAGCAAGTAGCTCTGAGAGAGCTTTTAACCTCATATCCTTGTCAGGATTTTGTTCCACCAGAGGGTGTTGTAACTTTTGTTAGGGCTATTAATGTCAAATAGTTTTCAAAATTAATTTTACTTATTTCACCAACATTACCAAAGGAAACATCTATGCTCAAACACACATGCATGCACACACACACACGTGCATGTACAACCCCCACAATCTCCTTAACCGTACTACAACTATCCAGTGTTATCCCATATGACGTTAATGCAGTGATCTATGTTTCGTCATAGTGTAAATCTGTCATTTAAAAAATGTTTATAACATTATTCTTCACTTTCATGCATCTAGCGTGTTTTCATGTTTATTTCAATACCCACAAAATAATCCATAGGATTGATAACGTAAATATTTAATTATTGCCTGACATTGTTTTCTTTTGTGGTTATTTTAATGTAATTATTTGCATTTTGTGCAGAGTACATTTCCTTTTTCAATAATTATCCTTGAATTATATTTCAGTAGTGGATTACTGGTCCAAGGCTATAAGCATATTTATGATTCACAACATATAATCCTCTAATGAAACTGAACTATTTTATAGGTCCAACATGTACGGATTCCCAGTAAAATTTTTTTAATTAAAAATAATAGATATCCAAAATGAATCAATAAATTATTTTAAAATATTAATAGTCTCTTATCTCCACTTCTTCACACTCACACTTTCTTCCTAGAGGACATGAGGCTCAGATCTATTCAGTCTCCTTCTAAGCCCTACTAGCTGGTGATGGCTGTCTTCATGGTGGAACAACCACAGACACTTGTGCTCAGGCCACCATTTTCCAAGAATGTTCCAGCACTTGCTTTCACTATTTTTCACAGTATTTTCTTAATATTTGTAAAAACTGCCACGTTTCCTATACTTATTATTTCTTTTATAAGCACGACTTTTCATCTTGAGAGGCCCAGATTAATCACTGTGAATTTCTCCCTGTGGAGATGAGACTTCAACTTAAAAAACAAAAAAAAATAACCAGCACGGTTTTCTTCTTATTACATAAATAATACATGGTAATTAGAAAAGAAAGGAGACAATATAAAGAAGCTGAAAGAAGAAACTAGAAATTGCTTATCATCTCACAATTCAGAGGTACCTACTGTGAACACTTTGGTATTATTATAATTTCAGATGTTTTTTCCTGTAGTGTGTGCATTTTTAAAAATTCAGTCAGGGTCATACTATTCTAATTTTCTCATAACCTGCTTTTAAAGTTTGAATTGCAGCATAATAATCTAGTACATGGACATAATATACATTTTTAAATCAGTTCTCTATTCTTGAATATGTATGTGGCTTTCATTTTTTCACTATTATAAACAGCATAAAGATGAATATCCTTATAGCTAAATGTTTGTGTTCATTGCTAATTATTTCCATAGTATAAATTCACACAGCTTGGTCCATTTAAGCTTCATATATTTCCTAAAACAGGTGGAATGTCTTTGCTGAACATGCTAACATGTTCCCAGGACTTTGGATTATAGAAAACATTTCATGTGGGATCACCTATGTTGAATAGTGACAGGGGCTCATATTTTCTCTCCTATTGGACAACTGGTCAAGCTTTCTTGCTATGAATGCTAGAAGTATTCTCCCACTATTCTTCCCCTATGTAGTCTGAACAGGGTATCATTGTTTATTTTTCCTCCTGTAACCACACCTTTTCTATATTTTTTGGCATAAATTAAAATGGACAAACACTCCCTGTTTTCTTTAATTTACTCCACTCCTTTCTTTTTATTATGCCACCTTTCAAAAACTCATAAACTTCTACCTGTACTCTTTTCAAGGTTTCATATTTTTAGTATAAATTAATCTATAAAAATACTCAGGAAAGAATAAATAAGCAAGTACTAAAAGTATGAATAGTTAAGGAATGTTAATTAGCTTCTCTAGGTATTAAACCATGTTATAAAACTACAGCAATTAAAACAGCATGATAGTGGTGTCAGACCAGATGTTCAGATCAATAGAATAGACTGGATAGATAACAAAGAAACAAAACCCCTTGTACATGAGAATTTAAAGTATAAATGAATTATCGTAAGTCAATGAAGAGGGAAGAAATTACTATATGGGTTGGCAAGACTGGCTAAAAGTGAGGTTTTTTTTTTTTTTAACATTGTGGTTTTTCAATCATTTTGGTCTCAGGATTTTTTTATACTTTTCAAAATTATTGAGGACCCCGAAGAGCTTTTGTCTATGTGAGTTGTATTTATCAATATTTGCTGTATTAGAAACTAAAGCTGAAATAAATTATTAAAATATTTATTTAGTAGTTCATTTTAAAAGAATAAGAAACCTATCACATGTTAAATTAATAGCATGGTTTTATAAAACATAACTATATTTTCCAAAACAAAACAAAAAAATAGAATAGCATCATTTTAAATTTTAGCAAATCTAATGCATTGCTAGTAGAAGATATCTGATTACAACACGTGTGCCTGCAATCAGTCTATTGAGATAAATTGTTTTCATTGATGGAAATGAAGAAAATCTAGCCTCATTTAGACATATAGCCAGAAAAAGAAAGGATATTTTGATAGACTTTTCAGATATTTGTGGCTATTCCTTGATACTACACGAAAATTCAGCGGTGGTACTTTTTTAAAAGTTTGTTGCCATCTGAAAATACATCAGTGAATTTTTTGTACTCAGCTCCATTAAAAACCATTGGTCTGTCCTACACTTTGAATGTGTCTTTTGCCCAGAAATGATGTTTGACCTGGCAGATCCTCTGAAAAGGTGTTGGAGACTCCCAGAATTCCCTAAACCACCTTTGACAGCCACTATTGTAGAGAGAAGAGGGCTCTCTAAGTTTAGGATTAATCAATAAAACCACAAAGCCAATAAACAGCTTTGAATGTATCATATCACAATTTAACATGTCTTATCTTTTTAAGTATAACTCAAAATTAAGTGTAAACCAAAAATTAAGAATAAATGTCAATGTGTACAACACAAGGGTAAATAATTTTAATGTTTAAAGGATTCACAGACTAATAAGTAATGTACTAATATTACATAGATTAATGAGGATAGATGATGAGCACAAAAAGTTTATAAAAGAAAATAACATGAAAAATGTACAACAAACACATAACCAACTAAAAATATCAGGTTAGCAGATAAGAGGGCAATGAAATTGACACTTTCAAATATTGTAGTTAGAAACATATTTTGCTACAAAATTTGAAGTAAAAATTGAGTAACGTGTATTAATAGCCTTAAAAATATTTATGTCCTATGTTTTCTGAACATCTATGTCAAAAGATTTTACATGAAAAATGCTTTGTGGAAGAAAATGCTTGTGATGACATTATTTATTAAAGAAAAAAGATAGATAATGATTAAATTAATCATGTTTAATCTATTCAATGAAAGACTCAATATCCATTGGAGAGAAAATTATTCGTGAGTATGCAATATAAAATTTAAAAATATTATGCTATAATATTAAGTGAACAAAATAAGATTAAAAAATTATTTGGTAGAATATAAACTATATTTCAAAACAACATTAACAACAACAAAAACTAAACTTACTAGGTAAAAGAACTGAAGAGAAGTCTAGCCGATTGGTGACTGTCTTTATCAGTTCTCTGTTTTCTAGTTTTTTTTATTTTTCTGAATTTTTCAAAAATTTTATAGAGATGTTTTCAATCACATAAAAGAATATACTCTTTCATTTTTAAAGTACTAGGAGAAATCCTTAGTGCTTTGGACCTTCTATAGATGCTTTGCCTTTATATGACTCCTCCTTTCTCTTCAAGATTCTACATTCCTTGCACCCACTTTGCTCTCAGCATCCTTCTTGAGTTACAACAGAGAGTCCTGCCTTACCTTTCCTCTTCAAGAATGCCCCTTCTCTGGACTAGCAGATGAAGTTAATTTAGACTCACAGAATCTCTGTGAAGTAGGCTTGCCAGGTTCAATTCTGTCTATCTGAGAGATGCAGTTGTTGCAACCCAGAGAGTTTGTGTTGTGTGACTTAACTTTTCTAACGATCCATGTTCTGGTCTTATGACTATTTTGTCCTTCTCTTAATCTTTCTCCTCATCTGTCATGTAGACAATGACAGGCACTGTTTCCACTGGACATGATGATGTCTGTTTGCTCAGAGGGTTCCTTTGATACAACTAGCCTTCAAATTCCTTTATGCTGTTTGTCAGCCTGGCATT